AGAACTCGGGGAGAGCTGTAGTCCCTCTCCCTCCAAGGACAAAGTCCTGACCAAGTGGCCTCTGTGATTGGCTCAGGGATGGGTAAGTGACTCAGCCCTGCCAATCAGAGCATTCTATACTTGGATCTCTGTTATTTGTACAGGGATGGACATGTGACCCAACCTGGCCAATGACATTAAACTCTGGGACTTTGCAATTAAAGTGGAAAATTGGACCCTCTTCCCCACTGGGCTTGTGAGGTTGATAGGATGAGCCTGAGAACTGTTGAGGAGCCATATTTGCCCTTGAGGACACACCTTGCTTAAGAGCACCCCCAGTTGCAACACATCACCCTAAAAACATTGTTTCAGCTCCTGGATCCAGCCACACCTGAATTCCTGGCGGCCACTGTACTGAATAACAACTCGCCCCTGTGTGTCTAACATTTGCAGGCACCCTTCCCACTCCCAGACACTGCACACCCTGCTGGGGGCCAGCTCGCTGGGTCCAGACCCAGGGGGGCCACCCCCCCGACAGACTGTCTGTAAGGGCACACACATCTTGAGGTTCCTTCTGTGATTCTTTGTTTCATCTGACATTTACAGATGGCCCCATCTCTCACTGAAGGATGTCAAGTGGGGAAACTGAGGCCCAGAGAGGGGTGTGACTAGACAGAGAATCCCGTATCTGGCTCTCTCCTCAAACTTGCCCAGAGGGACACTTTGTCCCATCCAGATGTTTGTGACCTCCGCACCATAATACTTGGCCCAGCTAAGGGGTACCCTGACCCAGTGCCCCAGGGGGCCCAGCCCCACCAGGAGTTGGGGCTCCCTCTGAGCACCAGGAGCCTTTGTGGAGGCCAGGCAGCTGCTCTCACACCTCCACAACTCCTGGCATCTCCAGGCTGCAGTCTTCACACCCTGCCCAGGGCACTCAAGGCCACCAGCTCAACCCAAACCCACAAACTCTACAGGCACCAGATCCCAAATCTGACCCTTTCCTCCTCCCTCTGCTGGGAAGACCTTGGTTTCTGCTCTTCCACAGTCTCCTTGGCTGCAGCCCAGGGAGTCCCTCCAGCCTGTGGCCTGAGCATCCCATGTGTACCTGGCCCAGTACAGCTGAGGAAAGGAAGCTAAGCTGTTCTCAACTTCTCAAGCAGCCCTTGTCCCCATCCTCAGCCCCCTGATGCCACCAAGGCTACTGGGTACATCGCTGCCTTTTTACACCAACATGCTTGTAAAAGTGAAATGTGGTTTTAAAAGAAAACTGCAGACCCTCCCTGAGCTGGAAAAGTGACACCAAGCAACCTAAAATCGATCACGGGGATCCATGCTACAATTAACTCATTCTTATCATGCAGTCTTTTAAATATTGAAACTATAACCAGGAAAAAAATATTTAAAAACAAGCAGGCTTCGGTGATAAATCCTAGGCAAAAGGGCTGAGCCTCTATCCCAGAGACTTGAGAGTGGCTGGGTGTGTACATGTCTTTGCAAGGAGAAGATTGTTTAAGGCCTGTCGCCCCCCACTGCAAGCCATCAGCTCCCTCCCAGGGGCCCAGGTGAGCATCTCTCCCAGTAGCCCAGAGTCTGGTACACAGCAAGTGCTTAATAAAGGCTGGCTGACTCACTCCACGTGCCCAGGGGCCAGGGTTAGAGTTCATTCAAGCGGAGAGCCAGCTGCCCCTCCAGGCTTCCCCCCTAGCCCCAGCCCACCCTGGAGGGCAGTCCTGGTCCCCACGCCGCACTCCTGGGGAGTGCAGGCATGGTGGGGCTGATACAGAAATGTTTGCCTAGTGAGTGGCCAGAGGCTCACCCAGAAGGATTTATAAGCCACAGGGGACATTAACTCCAGGAAAAAGAACTGCACGCCCAGAGGGTGTTGGGTCTCCCGGTGGGTGGGGCAGGGTGGGGGACACATCCCTCCTCAGCCCATTCCTTCTGGGTGATTCACTGAGGCCAGCAGGGTGGGGTCCCTCTTTGCCTGTGTCCTTGGGCAAGTCTCCCCCAGTTCCCCCAGTGTCCCTCGGGATGGTAGGTAGGTCCAGAGCACGCAGCTGCCCCCACAAGAGACTGCTGCCGTGCAGGTTCAGCCTGGTATGCAGTAGGCACCAGATAAATGCTTTCACAGCAGTGGCTGATGCTTTTAATTTTTAAACCCTGGATCCACCACTGATCTCAGAGTGATCCTGGGGCAGGCCTCAGTCTGTAGGGTGGGACTGTGCTAACTCCACATCAGGGCCTTGGGAGGAACCAGGAGGCCTGAGCAGGTGCCTGGCACACGGAAACTCTGGGGAAGGAACCACCTTCCTGGATGTCTCACAAACTGCAAATAAGTTGTACTAGCAATCAGAGCCTTCCAATTCCTCGAGTGGCTCCTCCCAACTGGGCGTTTCATGCCAGCATTTTGTTGGCTTCTCATGAGAGCCTGTGACCCGGGGGCCATTCTGTGCCCAACATGAAGCAGAGGAAACCGAGGCCCTGAGAGGGGGCACACAGGGAGTGACAGAGCAACAGGTTCTGAAGCTGAGCAGTCACCTCCTCCTCCAGGAAGCTCCCCGGATTGCTCCTCCCCAGTCCCAACTCTGTACCCTGTTGATACCAAAACTGAAACTGGGTTTATGGCCCCTGGGCTACATACCTGCTTCCTCATCACTGCAACTGGCCTCATGCAAATTTGCCCTTGGGCAAAGGCCTGCTATTGGGGCCTGAGGCTCAGACAGGGCCAGTCACACAGCAGGGACAGGCTCTTGGGGTTTCTCTTCTGTCCCTTGGGGCTACAGTCCCCAAGACCCTGGTAGCAGGCCCTTTAACACACCTGGACTCTGGGCCACCCCCACAGGATTCCAGACACTCTTTCCGACGCTGGACAGCCCCCTCATGCTGAGACCGCCCCACCGCCTCCAGTGAGCCCCAGTCAGACCCCAGCCTCATGGAGGGGGGTGTCGTAGGCTGCTTAAGCCCTCCCCAAGCAAGCCTCTGGCTGGTGCTAAGCGTCTCCCTAAAAACCCCCGAATTCCCAGAATCAGTGGGGTTGTGCTGTGCCTCGGGCCTCAGGGGTGAGATCAGGCCCCTTCCTTAGAGGGTCAGGGTTCAAGGCCAATGGTTGGGGTCCCGAAGTCCAGGGTGGAGAGTGGGGCCCTGGTAAAGCTCAGGGACCGACTTCTGCTCCCCTGGGCAGGTGCAGCACAGGATGGACAGAGACCAGCCTCAGAGCCAGCCAGGGGGCTCAGAGCGAGGGGAAGTGCCCCCAGTCCCTGGAAGCCCACTGAACCCAGAGGGGGGCTGGGGTGGGGATGAAGACTTCCTCCCTGCACACAGAGGGCCCCACTGGGGTCAGAAGGTGCCGCGGACACACAAACCCCCATGCCAAAAGCAGAGCTCCCTGCCCAAGCAGGACCCCCACCCCCCACCCCCCACTTTAGTGTCCATCCCGCCCTCCTTTGCCCCAGCCTTACCCGTGCTCTCAGCCCCACAGGCTCCAAGCCTGGCTCTGGCTCGCTGGCTGGCACAGAGGCCTCCCAGCCCCGCCCTGGCCCAGGTTGCCAGGGGACAGGGCCCCACCCCGGGAAGAAGGTGCACTCCCTCCTCCCAGGCCCCACCTGGGCTCGAGAAACAAAGTTCAGAGAAGGAAGAGAAAGACGACACCGCTGCAGAGGCTGCCGTGCCACGCTGCACTGCCCCTTGGCACCCAGGGCCCCCACCCACAAAGCCCGAGCCAGAATTCACCTCTAAACCCTCTGGGCCTCCCCACTGCCTCTCAGCATCGCTCAGAGAGGGGCCATCTGTCTCCTGGGGTCACAGGGCTTGTCCATGAGCCAGCTGCTGTTCCTCAGAGGCGGGTCCAAGTCCCAACCCCCACTCAGCCCACCCTCTAGGGCCATTTTCCCCGAGAGACCCTTACGGGGACCAGCCCAGCATCCTAGTCTCTGGGGATTCAGCTGGGCTTAAATTCAAATCCCACTTAACCACTCTGAGCCCATTTCCTCCTTCAGGAAGCGGGGTACATCACAGGATGGGGGGAACGCCCCTCAACCCACTTCCAATAAAGGGCCAAATGAGGACATAAAGGTGCCAGAAAGCATTGGGATGATTGGGGCCTGGGCCCACTGAGGCTCGAGGTGGAAGCAGGTGTTCCCAGCACACAGCTGTGGTGTCTGATTCTTGGCCGAGGTGCAGAGGACCTGCTAGCGCCACAGGGGCCCTGAGCCTGCGGGAGCATCAGCTCACCGGGTACTGTGGTTGGTCCACAGGGAAGGGTACACAGTGGGCTGGGCTTCCGTTCCTGGCGGAGGGGGGGATGGAAATCTTTGTCCTGCCCTGCCCCTTGACCAGCTGTGGAGCCCCTCTGAGGAAGAACCTGTCTCTTCTTCCATCCGATGTGCCCCTAGTTCCAAATCTGGCAGGGCTGCTCACAGTGCGGGGGAAGGGTGGAGACTGGGTCACCCCACATGCTGGGGCACTCCTGATCCCAGACTGGGGCGACCTCCCGTGCAGGGCTCACACAGCTGCCGTACAGGTGGGCAAGCCAAAGCCCAGAAGGGGTGGCCACCACTCCTACCCAGATTATGTAGTGAGAGAAGCAGGGCCGGCAGTTTCTGCCTCATATCCCCACCTGTTTGCCAGGAGCCAGCTTCTCTGCCAAGCTTGAGGGTGTCTGTCCCCCGGGGGACTGTGAGCCCAGCAAGGGGCGGCCTCACAACCAAGGTGGGGTGGGCAGATGTGGAACCTGAGGGCCCCCAGGAAACAGAAGCCAAGTCGCGCCACCGGAAGCAGCCCCCTTACCTCCAGGCCTTACCTGCCCAGGTGCCACACAGGTGCAGGTGGGGACTCCACCAACACCCCTACCCACCGCACTGGTGTGAGTCTGAGGGGTGCAGAGCCGCAGATGGGAGACACCAGTTCCCCTGGGCTCTACCAGGCTCCTTTTAAGGCTGGACCGCCTTGCCTGGGCAGGGCCCCAACCCCTGGCCTGGCCGCACCCTCCCCGCCCAGGTGAAACTCAAGAATTCCAGCCCCAGGGCTGTTCACACTGTTTATTTGCTTCTCTGGGAAAGTCAAGAACATGGGGCCTTGTCACACATCGAAAGCATAGGGGGGCAGCAAGGGCACTTTAGCGGAGGCTCGCAGCTCGAGGACTCAGGTGAACTCGAGGAGGAAGGGGGGTCCCACGGCCACTGCTCAGGTCACCTCAGAGAGGACCTCTCATCCCAGCCACCCAGGGGCAGAGCTGAGACGGGGACCCAGGCTGCCATCCAGAGCAGGCCCTGCACCCACCCTGCTGAGGTGGGGAGGGGCCTGGGCCCTGGGCACCAGGCTGCAGGCCCCTAGGGGAGGGGCCAAGATGGGGCCTGGTCATCCGCAGCCCACACATGAGAGGGCCTGTGAGCATGTGCACAAATGTGCCTCTGGGGACGAGTGTGGCTGCAACCAAGGAGATGTGTCTGTACATCTTGGTGTCAGCTACCCCCAGGAGGGGAGCCCCCCGCCTCTCACCCCTTCCAGTGAGGGGGAGGCAGGTGCACATCAGGCTGGGCAGCAAATGGAGACCTCCAGCTGCAATCCAGGGGAAGCTCCCTGTCCCAGGTGAGCGGGGTGCCCTCCTCCACTGCCCGGAATGCGCCAAGCCCAGCAGAGCTGGCGGTGGGCCCAATCTCTGTGGTATGGTAGGGGAGACCCGGGACCCTGGTCCAAGCAGGCTGGAGAAGGGGCCAGGGGCAGTCCCCTAGGGTCCCCAAATTAGCACCAGGAGGATGGGGGGCCCAGTGGGAGTGGGAGCTCCGGATGGGGCTTGCATGGCCCTGCCTTGTGTGGGACGCATCTCGAAGACCCCTGGCCCAGCCCGGCCAGAAGACAGCACAGGGGTCACACCCTGCCTGAGTGCGGGGGCGTGGCCCCAGGGCGCCCCCTTCCCATGTTCCATCGCCCACTGGCTGTGCTCAGAGAGCACTGAGGGGAGGGGCGCATTGGCTGGGGGTGTCCAGAGGGGCTCATGTTCATTCCAAGACCTCGAGCCGGGGCTCCCTGGAGAGGCACAGCCTCACCTCAGTTGCCTGAGATCCTGACCAGGCGCCTTGGCCTGGGAACCCTGCCAGAGGCTGAGCGGGGACAGGGCAGGCTCCCAGGACCCCTGGCTCCCAGGGTCCCTCTCCTGGGGGGTTGTCCCCTCAGGGACCTCATTGGAGGGGGCAGGAAGGCACAGGCAGGAGGCCCAGAGGGAGGTGGGCTGGCGTGGGGCCGCGTTGAGGCCCTGGGTCACACCGGCCAGGAGCTGCCGCGACATGGGGGGTCCTCGTTTGGGGAGAAGCGGGTGTGTCCGTGTCTCTCCTACCAGGTATGGGTGCACGGCTCAGTGGTTAAGGGTGTGTGGGGGGTGGTGATGGGATGGGGGACCCCTGTCCCTCTCTTTCCAGTGAAAGAAAACTCAGAAGGAACACGTGACGACACGGCAGGTCCAGGGCCCGTGACTGTGGGTGGAGGGTGGGCAGGCGCCGGGAGGGCCGGGCTGTGGGTGTCTGGTACAGAGGGCAGGGCCAGGGTCTGGGGGAGCCGGGCGGGTCACATGATGGAGCAGCATTTACAGCGCTGCTTCTTCATGTCGAGGTCCTGGGGCTCGGCGGCGGGGGCCTCAGGCCCCACCTGGTTCTCTTCCCTGGAGCCCTCAGTGGCGGGGGGCTCAGCTGCACTGCCGTTGGGCGGGGCAGGCTCCTTGGGCTCGGCTGCATCCTCAATGACCACCAGCTCTGCCGTGATGGTGTCCTGCAAACCCAGCACCTTCTGGGTCTCGGCTTCATCCTCCACATTCTGGTAGCCCATGAAGATCATGGTGACCGGGGGCTCCTGGCCGGGCTGGATGCCGGGCGGGCCCGAGGCGGCCTCCCCAGGCTGGGCCTGAACACCAGTGATCTCCCGCCTGGAGGGTGTGGTCCGGACAGCCTCTTCTGATGGCCCCCGGGTTTCCACTGCCCCAACCACTGACCCCGCCTCGCTCAGCGTGACCTCGTCCGCCTTGTGGATGAGTTCGTCCACCTCTGAGGAACTCAGCGGGTGAATCCCATTCTCTGCCGTGCCGTCCATGGCGTGGACCACTGGCATGGGGGGAGAGAGAGAATGTGAGCTGGTTCCCAGACCGGAGGTAGGGCCTGGCAAGGTTGAGAGCCACCTCTAGGCTAAAGGGGAATCATAAACTAAATTACACCTTTAGAACTGACTGACAAGTAAAGTCCCAATTGGGATCAGTGTGCAAGGCCAAGTTGGCACACAGAGGAAAATGTGTAGACACAAGAGCATGTGTTAGAAAACAAGAAAGAATAAATGAATTTGGATTTTATTGCCCTGCAGTTTGAAGCATTTCCATATTTCCCAGCCAACTTGCTCCCAGGCCATCACTTTTCAAAGTAGGTCTATTATTTTTTCCATTGCAAAGATGGTGAAAATGGAGTTCAAAGAAGGTAAGTAACAAGTAACTGGTCCAAGGTCACAGATGGCTGGGGCTGACCCTGCTCTTTCTCCCATTCTAGGTGTATTTCCCTTCATGAGGACTTGCAGGAAGTCTGATTTCATGTGGATGGTCTTAAACAAAAATTTAGTCCATTCACCCATCTTTCTTGTTTTCTCATCAATGCCCTTGAAGGCTATACATTTTCCTCTGAGTTGTGTTTTGGCTGCAGCTCATGGATTACATTAGGTCATTCTGTTTCAAGTGTAAATGTCTTGTCATTTCCATTTTGATTCACTGTCTCTTTAAGCCAAGATTTATTTAGAAGAGTGTTTTCAAACCTGGGAAAGAGGGGAACTGTGGTCCAGGAACACAGCATGTAAGATATAACATTGTGACAAGACATAGTCACTTTCTAAAATGCTCCACCTGTGTTTGACAAGAATGTGCATCTTTCATTGGGCATCGTTTTATATGCACAATCAAGCTTGTTAAGCATATTTTCCAGATCTTTCCAGCTTTAATAATTCGTGTCTTTCTGACGGGTCAGTTTCTAACCTGTGTCACAGTCTCTAAGACCGGATGTCAGCTCCTGGGAGGAGTCCTCGCTGTGGTCTGACACCAGCCCTGGATCACAGCCCTTCTAGAAACACAGCTACCCAGCTGCTTAGGGTGGAGGGAGGGGCACACTGAGTGTCCTAGGAACTCTCCTCCTGTGTGGCCAAGGGTCAGGGTTGGCCAGTATCTGGCTTCCGGCCAGTATCTGGCTTCTGGCCAGAAGGAAAGTGCTTTCCACTCTCGGTTTCCAAACTCCTGGGGAGGGGCATCCATGATTCAAGGCCTTGCAGTGACTCTGGGCTGGAGGCCCAGAGGGTGGGGTGTATCCAGGCCATGCAGAACCAAGCTAGGTATTTCCCACTGGCCACTGCTCCAAGGTAGGAACCTGAGCCCTTGGCTGCCATGGAAATGGATCACCTTCCCATTGCTAAGCAACCAGAGTCCAGTCTGGCGGGTCTTGAGTCCCCAGGGGCCGGGCCAGGCTGGGCCCCGTGGCCAAGGTAAGGACCTTCCATGAGCACAGACATCTCTGCCCCTTGGCCTTGTGTGGCCATCCTGTGTCCAGGAACTAGAGCAGCTGGGACATGCCTAGAACAGCTGGTGAGAACTGGAGCCAGGATTCCACTTGGGTCAAAGATTCCCAAGTACAGCAGAGCTGGGTTGTGATAGGACTCCTTTAATAACATCCTGGATGTCCCAGAGGCCTGAACTTCTAAGAATAGGAGGCTTTGGGAATCAAAACTACAATGAGATACCACTTCACACCCACTTAGGATGGCAATTATAATTTAAAATGGTCGATAATAAGGGCTGTTGAGGATGTGGAGAAACTGGAACACTAATGCACTGCTGGTGGAAAAATAAAATGGTAATGCCACTGTGGAAAATACCTCAGCAGTTCTTCAAATAGTTAAACAGAATTCCCACATGATCTAGCAATTCCACGCCTAGGTATTACCCAAGAGAAATGAAAACATACACCCACACAAATCCTTGTATAGCATAAAACCAAAGGGTGGAAACATCCCAAACGTCCATGAACTGATGACTAGATAAACAAAATGTGGTCCATCCATACTCTGAACTATTACTCAGCCATAAAATATAAACATGGATGAACCTTGAAAACATGATGCTCAGTGAGAGAAGCCAGACACAAAAGATCACACCATATATCATTCCATTGATGGGAAACGTCCAGAACAGGCCAGTCCACTGAGAGAGTGGGTTCGTGGTTGCTATGGTGGGGTGGGGAGGGATGGGGTTTCTATTTGAGGAACAGAATGTTCTAGAATCAGGTACTGAGGGCATACAACACAGAGAGTTCTCACTGGGTTGTGCATGGAATTTATGTGTGTCCTGAATCTCTGTCTCCAAATTCCATCTTCTCCTGAGGGCAGCATTTACTGGACACGCTAATGGACCCTGGGGCTGAGCTGTGCTAATTTTATGCCTAACTTAAGGGATCAGCTCTGGGGACCTCAGATCCTGAAGAAAGCAAATGCTTACCTTGACTCCAAATGTACCGTTAATTTTTTTTCTTTTGCTGCCCACGGCTTGTGGGGAGCACCTGGGTACCTGGGGATATCCGACCTGACTCACCCCACCCTCAGCACCTGGGGATCTTAGTTCCCCAACCAGGGATTGAATGCAGGCCCTCCGCACTAAAAGCACAGAGTCCTAACCACTGAGCCACCAAGGAAGTCCCTTAAAGGTTTCTTAAAAAGGTGTCTTTAGGAAAGTATGTCTTCTTTTTCTGGTATCACAGCAAATGTTGCCCCAAACTTCCTCTCCCCAGGCAGGACATGCCAAAAATAAACAAAAATTTAAATGCCAAGACCATTATAAGACAGTTGTCTAAATACTGATGGATCTCACAGTTTAAAGGAAAGTTTTCCTTAGATTTTTTAAAAAGAAAGTGAATTTTACATTCTGTGAATTATATGGGGGTGGGGGGAAGGGACTTTGGAGCTTTTGCCCAAGGCTGCCCTCCCCTCCCATTTCCAGCTGCTCCCTTCCCAGCTCCCAGAGAGCACCCTAAAAACTAAACAAGGTCTCAGCTCCACAGCCTCTCCAACACCCCCCCTCCACCGCCACTCCTGCCAAGGCTCCCCATCCCCCACCCCCTCACTCTGCATTAGTTCCACAGGCTCCTCCACAACCCCCAGGCCGTGAACCAAATCCCACCCCAGGGCCTTTGCACGGGCTATGAGCACACCAGATACCCTCTGTGCTTACTTTCTCTGTCCCTCCCCACCCTGCTGGACCTTCCTCTGGCCCCCTCTCAATCTCTATGGGGGGGGCTCGTCTGTAGCCTTTATCACAACAGTAATTATTTAAATGAATTCTCTGCGAGGATATCTGAGCAGAATTTGAGCAAACTCCAGGAGATGGTGAAGGACAGGGAAGCTGGGCATGCTGCAGTCCATGGGTTCGCAGAGTCCGACACAACTGAGCGACTGAACATCTGTGAGGTGGGGGTTGGAGAGCTCAGCCCGCTGGCTCGAGAGCACCCAGGATGGAGCAGACCTCAGAGGTCGGCTCCCCAGCCCATCCTGGCGCTGGCCACGCCTCCAGACAGGTTCCGGGATGGAGGGAGGGCTGGCCACGGGGCGCTGGTGGGGCGGGGGAGGGGCGCGTACCTTTGGTCTCGTCCTCGTAGACCTTGATGCCCTGAGGGAGGAGCTCCCGGGGGAGCACGGTGGTGCTGGACAGCACCCGGGTCTCCCCCGTCACCTTGTCCTTCTCCACCTGCACCCGGGTCTCCCCTGTCACCTTGTCCTTCTCCACCGTGATCTCCACCGAGTACATGGCTGGCACGAGAGGCACGGGTCAAGCCGCCGCCCACCTGCCCATGTGCCCCACGCCGGGCTGCAGCCAAGCCAGGGAGGGGAGGCGGCAGCGCAGAGCCAAGCAGCAGGTGCCCTCGTGTGCCCTCGACGCGGCCCTCCTCCCAGCTCAGCATCCCTCCCTGGCTCCCCAGCGCCCACGCGCGCGCGTGGGGTCTGAATTCCTGGGCCACTCCGGCCACCGGCCTTGGCTGCAAAGCCTGGATCAGTTCCAAGCAGGTGGGGGAGTACCTGGCCCAATCTAGAAGGGATTCAAACGCAAGTGAGCAAGCCTGTGCCCCACAGCGTCCTGGACGCTCGTCCTCTGCACTGCTCTTGTAAGGCCACTACTGACTCATCGCTTCGGCGTGGAGAGGGGATGGTCCCCAGAAGTGTATGGAGCTACGACCCCTGAAGATTACATTCAACGGCCAGCATCTGCCCCTGTTCTGCAAACAGGTTGTCACAAACACCACACGCAGAGGAGACACCTCCTGGCAGTGAGGCCCCCCAGGCCCCCAGCCCTCCTCCCTCCACGGAGGGCTCCACATCACCACGCCCAAGACCCCCGGCCTGACCTGCCCCTCCTGGGTCTTCTCTTTTCTCACACGGACACCTTTGTTCTCCCTCCTCTCTAATCGACTCTATTTCCCCCACGCCCCGATCTGTCCATCTGCAAATTCCAGGGTGCCGCCTTCAAGACTCCCAGAACCCACCCACTGCTCGTCCTCCACAGCCCCTGCTGGGGGGAGTTGCATCCCCCCCCACTATCCCTCAACCCCCTTCACCCCATCCTCACACCATCCCGCAGCCCGACCCTCATCTCGTGAGTCCCCTACAGCATCCCCTACCATGCCCCACCATTCCCCCTTCATCCCTTTCCTTCATCTCTCACCATCCCACTCACCATCCCCATCCCCACAATACCCCCATCCTCCACCATTTCCTCTCACCTCCCCCGCACCCCCTATACCCCCATCATCAACCCTCCGGGGATCCCCGCCCCCCGCAATCGGCTCCGCCCACAACCTGTTCTCCCTAGAGCCGCCAGAGGGTGCCTGTGAGTTGCGAGCAGGCACGCCCCTGCTCTATCCACCTCCAGCTCTCTGCACCCCCACACCCGGCATGGGCAGCCCCGTCCCTTCCTCGCCCTCACCTTCTGCCCCTCCCCCTCGCTCATTCCACCCCGACCAGCACGCGGCCCCTGCCACACACCGGTGCCCACAGTCCAGACGTGGTCCAGACTTGACCTTTGCATTGGCAGTGCCCGTCCTTCTCCATGCCTTGCTACCTCACTTCCTTTATCCTTGCTCAGATGTCACCTCCTAAGATAGACCTCCCCGAGCCCTGTGATTCAAATTGTGCCACTCTCCAGCCCCCTATGTTCTGCCTTGACCCGCATCAGAACATCTGCAGTGTCTGGGCTGCGACCCTCTTGTCAGGCTCATGGCAGGTTCTCAGCTAGCACTTGGAGACTGAATGAATGAATGAAGAAGGCTAGGTATCACCACATCCCTATGCAGCCTAACACCCCACCATCAGACATACAGTTGGGCAGGTTGCGCACTGCTCAAGGTCACCAGCTGAGGGCATGCAGCTTTGTGGCTTTCTGCCCACTTCTCTGACACTGAGGCCCTGAGGGTGCCCCCTCCTTCTCTAGGCTTCCCCTGCCACCCTCTCCCTCCCCTGAGTGTCATTACATCCTGGTCTTCACTCCCATCTCTGGTTTTGTGCCTCCAAACTTACTCTAATATCAGCAACCACAAGGTTCTGCTTTTTGTCATGACTTCAGTCACTTTCAGGATTAGATTTGTGCCAGACTCTGGGCACAAGGTCACTACAATCCTCACCACCACCAGGTTCCAGCCGTCAAGTGATCAAGCAGGGATTTGAACCCGACCTTATTGAGCACTGAGCACTAATCCCAATTCTGCCCTGCTTGGTTACCTCCAGGAATGGGGTGCTCCCTCCCTCCCCCCAAAGACAGTGAAGGAGGGAAAGTTTGCAGCGAGCGTGTGAGCCTGTGCCCACCCCCGCCAGGACCCAGAGCAAGTGGCAATGTTAGGGAGATAGAAGCCGGGAGGGGGCATCAGGTTATAGCCGCCATGCTAGGGGGCCCGTCTTCTCGGGGAAGCTGGGCTGGCTTGTGACGGGCGTGCCAAAGCGGAGGGGGCACCCGGCCCCACCCAGGCTCAGAGCTGTGGCCTTGGTCCAGCCGCTCCCCACTAAAACCACCCGGTGATGCTGATGGTTGCATCTGCACCGGGCCTGGCCCCCCAACCCGGCCTCCCCAGGGCCAACAACTCAGCCCAGGACAGCAGCTGGACATGGACCCCAACCTGGGGCCAACCCACCTGCCTTCATCATGGTGGAGCCGTCGACTGTCCTCAGAGGGGTGTTGGAGATTTGCTTCTCTGCTCACAATGGTGGGGGGGGGGGAGCAAAGAGTGAAGAGAGATGGATTCAGAGGGGAGATCACATAGGCCCCCCCCCCCAAGATGTGGGACTTCACCCAGACACATGGACACCCTCCAGGCACCTGGACACCACCCAGACACTTAGACCACCCTCCCACACACTCACCCACACACCTGGACCCTCTCCCTAATGCATGCATGCACCTGGACCCCTCCATATACGTGTGCATGCCCTGAACACCCAGACACACGTGAATCACTCCCCGCAAAAAGAAAACACTGCAGTCCCATAGTCTATGATCCATCTCTTGGGGTCCAAATGATTTTCACAAAATCCCTGAGTGGCCTGCATGGATTTTTTTTTAAATTATTAATTCCACAGTAAGATGAGGAGACAGACTCTCCTCATGAATAATTAACTCCTGACAAATCAGGCCAGAGACACTTTTTTTTTTTTCAGGCCAGAGACACTTCTGACCATACCTCCAGTCCTGGCTGGTGGCACTCCTTCCAGGCTCTACACACAGAAATAGACATGCTGAATATATATTTTAAAATATAACTTTGTGTTAAGGAAATTTTAACATAGCTAATAAACCATTATAGCTAATGGTACATATTGAAGTGTCATGTGTACACGTGAAGTATTTGTAAATGTGTACATCACATACCTGTAATAAATTTGTAAGTGGGGGCTAAAATCTCTCCCAGAATTCAAACTCTGGGCTTTTTTCTTTGTTTCTTGGATGTCAGTCTTCCACATCTCTGTGTGTGGGGGACCCTTGTTCTTTTATTTTTTTTATGGCCGTGCCACATGCTTTGCAGGATCTTAGTTCTCTGACCAGGGACTGAACCTGGGCTCCAGCAGCAAAAGCACCAAGTTCTAACCACTGGACCACCAGGGGAACTCCTCTTTGTCCTTTTAAGTGGTACACAATCTCCAGGACGGCCAGGATCTTGATTTCTCATCCTCACTGACCCCAATTCACAGATGGGAAAACTGAGGCCCCCACCTGCCCTGGATCCCAGAGCAAGTGGGCATGGAACCAGGGCTGGGCCGGCCAAGGCCAGGCACTCTAGGTGGACAGTATGAACCCACGATGGGGCTAAGACCTCAGGCAGAAATGCCCCTGTGAACCCTGCTTCCTCATCCGTAATGCAGGTGCTGCTTCAGTCCACCCAGGGAGCTTGTGAAAATTCGATGAAATGATGTTGAGGGGCCCTGGGCCCAGCTCAGAGTCTGGGTTCGCTGAGGGCAATGACACTGAGAGCCACTAAGCTATTTTATTATCCCTTTTTAGCAACAATAACACCTTAAAGGGGCTTCCCTGGAAAGAACCCGTCTGCCAATGCAGGAGACGTGGATTCAATTCCTGGATCGGGAAGATGCCCTGGAGAAGGAAATGGCAACTCATTCCAGTATTCTTGCCTGGAAAATCCCATGGACAGAGGAGCCTGGCAGGCTACAGTCCATGAGGCCGCAAGAGTCGCACACGACTAACCACCACCACCTTAAAGGCACCCTTCCCCTGTCGGCCATCTCCTGTCTGGCCACCAGAGGGCGCCGGGGCCCTGCCCGCCCCTTCCCTAAAACGTACCTTTGGGCGTGCCCACCGGGGTCTGCAAGAAAGAAAGGGGAGGGGTCAGGGGTGTTGGCGCCCCCTTCCGCCGCCCAAGATCCCACCGGCCGAGGCCCAAGCCTGAGGGGGGCGTGGTTCAGCAGCGACCCCATCGGAGGGGGCCGTCTACTTCTGGACCCATCCCCCACCCCGCCCTAGCCTGTGACAGCCAGAAACGCTCCTGCCTGCTCAGAAGCTTCCTGGGGCTCGCAATGCTGCCAGAACAAAGTCCAACCCTTCCTGATGACCCCCGGGGCCTCTTCCGCCTCTTCCCACCCCTGGCCGGCTTCCCTGGCCTCCTGGCTCTTCCGTGAGCCACGTCCCTCCACTTGGAAGGCCCTTCCCGGATTTCCGCTTGGCTGGCTGCTTGCTCAGCCCCCATGACCACCCGACCTAAAGGTGTCTCCCTGTCCCCATCCAGGGTTATCCCTCAGGTTACCATGTCATTTACCCGATCAGAAGATGGGCCAGGAGGCAGGTATCATGAGGGGAGAGGCCATGCCAGCATTCAGCCTGTGCTCAATCAAGCTCACTGAAAGCCACCCTCAACTTGAATCCGGGCCTGGAGAACTCGTAACTCAGTCGTCAAAACCCATCTCCTCCAGGAAGCCTGCACAGCCCGCCCATGAAACAGACACCTCACTGGAGACTCCACAGTGCCCTAAGCTTCCCCACGATAGGTCCTTACACCTTCCTGTGTTTGCAGCTGATTGATACATACACATCTGCCCACTTAAAAACAGCTCAAGAAGGCCAAGGTCTGGGTCTACATCCTCCAGTTCTGCCCCAACCAAGCCTTGGCAAGTAGTGAGGACGGGTGTGTCGGCTCCAGACTGAAACTATCATAGGAGCAGCAGGACACACAGCAGGGATGTTCCCTGGGCTGCAGCTCACCGGGGTGGAGGAAACAAGGATAGGTCAGGGGAGAGGAGGCGTGCCCCATAGGCCCTTTGAGTCCTAAAGACAACAAGGGTGGTCGGGAGACTCCTGAATTTGCGTTAACATGCTGCGGTAACCACGAGCTTAGGGTCTGGTTTCACCTGAGCCTGGCATACACATCACAGCCTAGAATGAACAGCTGAGCCTAGTAAAGACTACTTCGCTGTGTGGCCTTGAGCCAGTCTCTCAACCTCTCTGGGCCGCAGTCTTTTTCATCAAATGGGGATGCAGCTCCACCTGAAAGGGCTGCACGCAGATAAACAGGTGATGCCCATTGTGCTGGTGAACCTAGGAAGGATGACAAGCAGGTGGTCTTCGGGGAAGACCCTCTACCCATGAAGCGCTCGTTTTTCACTGATTCACTAAACACCCGTGACACCCCTGTCTGGCGGGGAAACTGAGGCCCCGGCAGGCCAAGCAAGGCGTGCAGGTGACGCAGCTGGGATGTGGCCGGGCTGGGATGTGGATGTGCACGCATTTGGGATGTGGGGCGCCCCCAACCACAGCCCCGGAGGCGGTGGGTGCTTCTGGACCTGGACCAGCAGGGTGGTGCCCTGGGTACCTCTTACCTGCTGAGCGTTGGGCATGGCCTCGGCTCTCTGGTCTTCCGGGGCGGGGCGCGGGGCGGGGCTTGGAGTAGCCACGCTCCCCCTGGCGGCGGCGGTGGGCAGCACATCCGTGTTCTCCAGCTCCTCGATCTCCTGCTCCAGCCTGGGGAGTGTGTACGAGGTGACCACCCTGCCGGACACTTCTGGAGCCCGGCACCGCCAGGCACGTCCAGGAGGGCTTTCTTGACTCGCCTGTTTCCTAACGACCCTGCAAGGTGGTCTCCTTCGTGCTCCCGGCAGGGAAATGGAGGTAAGTAAGCGGCAGAGCCGAGACCCAAACCCAGGCCGGCCGATCCCCGGACCCCTGTGCCGCCCGAGTTACTGTTTACTACTCTGTTCGCTTCCAACACACTCATCTTTTTCCACTCAAATACATTTATTTTTACAGGAAGCTTTATCTCTCCAGGGAAACTGGAAAAACCATGTCACTTTCCAAGTTTTAGGAGATAATGGTGCTCATAAATAAAAGCTGGCATATTCAATCCTGCCCCAGGCATCACCTGCCTATGCCTTTGGGGTGCAGGCACTCAGGACCCAGGAGATAGGAGATGTTTTCCTTGAAGACTCAGTACAGACTGGGGAGGTGGGTAGTATACCGCCCCCTAACAAAGTGAGCCCAGCTCAGCCGACTGGACACAGCTGGGGTCAGCCTGGAGGTCTTCCCGGAGGAGGTGTCCAGGCGGAGACACTGATCGGGCAAAATGCAGGTGATGGAACCACCCGAGAAGCATGTAGCCCTGAGGGGAAGAAAGCCAAGGCCCCCCAAAATCCAGCCACACAGTGGGGCTCAAGGGATGACCCCCTCGCCACCCCCTACCCAGGGCTGCACCCAGCAGGATATATTGAGCAAAAGCCCACCTCATCCAACCCCCAAGGACTGGTAATTCCCACTGACCATCCTTCCCACCTGCAAGCGCCCCTCGGCCTGCTCAGTCCTGAGTGGCCCTCCAGGCCACATCTCAGCCCCACCTCCTCTGGGCACATGCTCCCAGGTTGGGGAACTGAGGCCTGGGGAGGGGACCCCAGCCAAGCTGCCCCCACTTTCTTCTAAACCAAATGCACCCACACAGGATCCTGAGGTCCCCACGGGGCTGCAGGCCAGGGTGCCACAGCCAGCACATGCCTTTCAGGCCTTCCCTGGCCAGTGGACATTGGAATTTTGGCTGTTACTTCCCTCCGCCTGACCCTGCTGCCCTGGGAACTGAGCCTGGGCCTCCTGCCCGGCTGCCCGCCTGCTCGGAAACTCCTCAGTGCTTTTGTCCCAGGCCAGGGGGATGGTCACTTTCCCTGGCCTGCCCCCTCCCCCAGCTTCCTGCAGGCCAGCTGCAGTGCCTCCTGCCTCCTGCCTCCGAGGCTCCAGGAGCGCTGGAAAGACCAGCTGGGCTGGCGCCAGGAAGCCCCAGGGGAGACTGCATCTCCGTCCTCAGAGACCTGTCTTCAGAAACCTCCATGGCCCAGACCGCTCACCCCTCACCCCTGCGTGGCTGCGGGGTTGGGGGGAGGAGGGGTCAAGTGGGCAGCACCCACCCCCAGTCACTCCCCAGCCCTGAGGCTTGCGGCCCCCCACCTGGAGATGGACTCCTCCAGGTGCCGCGCCTTCTGCTCGTCCTCCTGCATCTGTCTCCTCATGTCCTCATCCCCCTCCGAGGCCGAAGACGGCGTCCCCTCCAGCAGCCAGCGTTCCCGCAGTGCCTTGGACTGGGGCAGTGGGCACCAAGGTCAAAGTTGGGGTCAGGGCTGGGGTCGGGGTCAGGTGAGGGTCTGAGTTGGGACTGGAATCAGGGTGGGGATCGTCTCAGCCCTCCTGCTCCCTGCCCCTAAGTCCCAGATCTGGCCGAGGCAGGGGTCCCTGGATGCTGCCCTCCCCCAGCCGAGGCTCTGCCCTGACCTTCAGGTGCTGCAGCTGCCTCCGGTCGTCCTCCAGCTGCCTGCGCCTGTTCTCAATCTCTGCCTGCCTCCGCCGCTTCTCCTGCAGACCCCGCACATGGTAAGGGCAGGCTGGGGCCGCAGAGACCCCACAGCTACCCAGACTTTACCCACACTTGTTCTGTGAACAGCACCCACTTGGCCCACTGCACCCCCACCTGCACCCAGCCTGTCCCCCCACCCTCCCCCACCTTGTCCCTTCACCAGGAAGGACTACCAGCCTCCCCCCAACTTCCCCCAGCCTTGCCACAAGGGCAAGTTCCTTCCACACGTCAGCCTTGCCGCCCCCCGCCCACTGCAGGGGAGTTACCCAGGGGCTCTGAGAAGCTTCTCGGCCGGAGTCCACATGCTGAAGACTAAGGGGCGCTCAACGTTTTAATTTTATGGGGAGATGATAGCAAGCACTGAAGTGTCCCACACTGCACCTGGGATCTGAGTCCCTGAGCCCCAAGCTGGGTGTGGGGAGCACCTGAGACCCTGGGTCCCTCCTCAATCTCCCCCCCATGCCCACCCCATCCTTGGGACCTGGAATAACTCACTGCAATGGCCTGCAGCCGCTCCTGCTGGGATGGGGTCTCTGCCGCCAGGACCCTGGGAGGATAGAAAAGATCAAGTGGGGGGTTGACCCCCAAAATTGCTTTCAGCAGATCCAGTTCGAATTCCCACCCTGTGTCTTCCTGCCAGGTGAGCCCGAGTTCCCTTCTGCCAAATGAGATTGTTCCACACACCCCTCATCCCCATGCAAGCTTATTTCTGCATTAATTCTCCCACAAACCCTCCTGCCACTTCTCAGGGCAGGGACAAGGGACAGGACAGGTGAGGCCCAGTTCAGACACCTAGGGAGGGCTTGGAAAGGGGAGGGCATTGAAGCTGGGCTCTGAAGGATGCATAGGAGTTCCCTGGGAATAGAAGCTTGGAGTAGAGGGTCTCTTCCAGACTGAGAGACTGACCAAGACAGCCCCTTCCTCAGCCTTCTCCAACTCTGGGAGGGACACTTGGAGGAAGAGGGACCCTCCAGCTCCACCCCCCACCCCTTGGCTGCTAAGTCCTCGATGCTGTTCTGGGATTTCTGGTGTCTCCCATACTGGCTGCCCCCGGAGTCCCCCAGGACCCCAACAGCTCAGAGAGAGCTGTGAGCCTCCTAAGAACACACAGCAAAAAAGTAGCAAAGCTTAAATCCAACCCCAGACTCTTTCCTCATCTCACCCATGTTTTGCTTGTTTCTTTCATTTTTTATTTTTGCTGCACCATGAGGTTTGCAGGATCTTAGTTCCCCAGCCAAGAATTGAAGCCGGCCCTGGCAGTGACAGCACAGAGTCCGAACTAATGGGCTGCCAGGGAAGTCCCCCATCCATGTTTTCTGAGAGCCCACCCAGTGCAGTATTAGCCTTAAGCTGGTATGCAGTAGGAGTTAGATAAATGCCCATGTTGCCAAATGCTCTTAAAGGGACAGGACTTCATGTTGTTGAGAATCTGGGGACTTCAGAGAGAGCACAGGACCTGGAAAATAGGTTATCCTTGCCCCTCCCCTTGATCCCCTGCATCCCGCTCCCTACCTAGGGTGGAGGGGGGAGGAGCTTTCGAAACCTGCCCCCTCCTTTCCAGGTCTCCCATCTCTGGAAGCTGCACACAGTAGGTGCAGAGTAAAATGGTCAGATGAATGATGCCCTGAACATCTCCTCGTCCTCAGGGTAACCTCGAGCTTCCAGGGGGTGGAGGGTCCTCAGCCTGAGTGGGGGGCTTCCAGACCATCTGCCTCAAACCCCTGATAAACCACAGGGCCACTCTGGGAGGGACTGACTGACGGGAGGCCTCATCTCATATGGGAGGGCCTGGCAGTGGGAGCCAGAGCCCCCAACCTGTTCCACTCTCTCCCCCTCCCCCTGCCATCTGCCCCACCCCCTTATCTTCACAGGTACTGAAATTACAGACCATGCTTTGGACCCCGCCCACCCCCAGCCTTGACTCAGGACCCAGAGCCACCAGAGGCCTCCACACTCTCTGCCCCTCTGGCCTTCATTTCCCCATTTGCACACCCCAGCTCTGGGCCCTCCTGCTATGTCACCCCCCAAACCGTTGTTTAGAAGGGAAACAGTGTGCCAGGTCTACCTCAAGCCAAGCCCCTGTGTGCGTGCGTGCACACACACCCCCTGTAGCTGCTCAGTGGACACGCATCCCGGGGCAGCAGTGCCTCGGTCACCCGCCTCACTCGGGTCTAGTTTCCTGGCCATGCTGAGACCTGTGAAGTCATCTGGCTCCCATGCCCCGGCCAGGTGACCCCACCCAGCTCCTCCCTTCCTGTGAGGTAGCACCTGCCCCCCCTGTGCCTCCCAGGGGCCCAGCACACCAGCCCCACCCCTGCAGCTTCCCCTTCTCCTTCCTCAGGGAGGCTGCATTCAGCTGGGTAGAGTTCAAGAAAGGTTTGGTCCAGCTGTCCAGCTCAGATGTCCTTCCTGAAGGGCCAGACCAGCAGGATTTCTGGGTCTGCCCCATCACTTCATGTGATACAGACAGGGTGACATGCCACGCTCCCCAACATAAGTCCATCCCCTCAGTTCTTGCAAACCCCACACTCTCCAGCCCAGCCCAAGCCTCTACCATCACCTGCCAGCTCCCTGAACCCTGACAGCCCACAACTAGAAGCTTCTTCTCAAAGTGAGAATCCAAACCCATCATTCTCCTGCTCTCAAGTCCCCTGGCTCCCATCACCCCTTGAAAGCCCACTCCCTGGCATAGCCCAGCCCCCACCCTCTCCCCTGCCCTGGTACCTGACCTCTGCTCTCCACCAAGTTCATTCTTAGCTCAGGGCCTTTACACTTGATGTTCCCTCTGCCTGCTATGTTCTTCCCATAGCTGGAAACTGAGGCCCAGAGAGGGTGAGTCACTTGTCCAAAGTCAAATAGCTACAAAGTGGCAGAGCTGGGATTCGAACCACAGCTGCTCAGCCCCAGGCTGTACCACAGGCCTCCCCTTTTCCACACAGCTCTAGTTCAGCCTCCAGGAGCCCACCCAGGCAGGAGGCAGAGTTGCACGAGGGGGGCATAGCAGCTGAGACCCCAGTGCAAACAGGGCCACAGAGGGCAAGCGGACCAAGCTGCCTAATACTGGGTCCCCACCCTGGGGAGGCGGGAAGGTGGCCATTGAGGCTGGACACAGGGACACAGAGATGGCTGTGAGGCCAGCTCGCCAAGCTGGAGACAAGGTGGGCAGTGTCCTTACTGGGGCGGCCAGTCCCGGCAGGGCCAAGCCAGGGCAGGGGAAGTTCAGACGGGCACAGAGAGGAGAGGCGCCAGCCCAGGGAGAGAATTTCCATCTCTCCCCACCCATCTCCTGTCTCAGCCCCAAGGGTGCAGGCAGTGCGCCCCTCTCAGGTGCCCCTCCCCAGGCCTGGGGTCGCCTGAGCCGCCCCACCCTACCCAGCCCCAGGGCTCAGCCGCTGCGGGTGATGGATGGCGGGGCCCACGGGAGGCGGTCACCCTGGCAACCGCGCCATCCCCATGGCAACGCAGAGGCCCGCTGGCGCTCAGGGGTGGGGCCGGCGCATCTCCCACCCCCAGCCCGGAGCTAAGGGGCTGAGGGGCTGCCTGCCCGGGGCTTCAGGGGTTGCCTGCAGCAGGTGGGACCCGAATGGGTAACTGGGTCTGTCCCACCCCCGCGGCAGGAGGAGGGCTTCCAGGTCTGGTGATAGGGGCGTCCACCCAGGGAAGGGCTTCTATCCGGGAAGGGTCTGAACCCGCCCTTGGCGCGAGGCAGCCAAGGTCAAGCCAAGATAAGGCTCGGCATGAAAAATCGAAAAACAAAACAAAACAGGAGGCTGGAACTCCCTAACAAATCAGGAATAGAATAGGAACCACGTTCCGTGGGTGGGTCTCGGCCGCACTTTACGGAGAGGAAACTGAGTCTGGGGGGAGCTAAGCGTCGGATCTCCCGAAGATCCTGTGAGGCACGTGGGATAATTATGGCCGTTTTATCAAGGAAGGATCTAAATGGTGAAGTGAGATCTGCACCCAGACAGGCGGGCAGGCTCAGGGGCACAGGGAGCGCAGGGTCTCCCTGGCCTGGCTGCGGTGGGGGTGGTCAGTGGGACGCCTGAGAAGCTCACTCGGGCTCAGTGAGTAAAGCAGAGGCCGGATCACAAAACGTTTGATTTACACACTGGGCGGAGAAGCTGATTTTGGGCGGAGGCTTTACGGCAGCTGCCCCCTCTGGCTGTGTGACCCAGGGCAAGCCAATTGCGTCTCTGAGCCTCCACTGGCTGCGCTGGGCTACGGGCCACAGCTTGCAGCTGCTGAGGAGGGACAAGCCCTGGGCCAGGACGCCCACCGTCAGCGCGCGCAGGCGTCTGGTCCCCGCGCGATTATTTTTACGGAGCTTGGAGCAGATTCTGGGCTCCAGCGGCCTTGTGGGCGGCTCAGGACTCGGCGAGGGCGTCGGCTGCGAGCGCGTGAGATAATCGTGGTCCAGGAGATGAGCTAATGAGACCCGAACCCAGCAAGCCCGGCAGAGGCCTCAGCTATGAAGGCGCTTATTTTTCAAAGGTCCAGAGAGGTTACGCAACCGGCCCAAGGTCACCCAGAGGGCAGGAGGGTCTAGTGTGGGAGGTGGGAGGTGAGTGTAGGGGGTGGGGGTCACACTTGTCCTTCCAGAGCCCACGCCCGGCAGCTACAGCCAGAATGAGGGGGTCCCTGTCCAGGCAGGCGTGGAGCCCAGCGCTGGAACATTCCTGTGCTAACTGAAAGGAAACAGCTGACAACGACCTTGGCCATGAGTGGTGGTGGTGGGGAGGCAGAGTCACGCGGGGCNACGCGGGGCGAGGGGTGGGGGGGGGTGAGGGGAGCCCGGTGGCCTCTCCCCATGTTGAGTGGGGGATGGAGTTCGGGAGGCTGGTTCCCAGCACCAGCCCTGGCCCCTCCTAAGGGCCAGCACCTTCCTCGCTATAGATCCACCCACAGTTCCCTCACCCTGAGTGAACCTCGGCCTCTCAGCAGGCACTCGCGCCCCTGTGTTTGCCCCTCACCTTTCCCCTTTCTCTCCTTCACCTCCAGTCTCAACTCAAGACACAGCTGCCTCTTTCAGGGAGCCTTCCTGAGTCTCTTCCCCTCATCAGGAAGGAATTCTTCTCGAAGCCCCTCAGCCCTCAGCACAGGTGAGCCCCTAGGACCACTGATGTCACCGGTGAGGTGGACAGCCCTTGAGGCATGGGCTTTCCAGAAGTTTCCAGGCAGAGAGACATCACCACCAAGGTGGAGACGGAGGTTGCAGCAGGCCACAGACCCAGGAAAGAAAAACTGTTGCCTATTAACCTGGGATAGGGGGCAGGGGAGCTGGACCCTGCCCCAGGCCCTAACAACAGAACAGGGCAGCAGGGCATGAATGCCCGCCCACCCTCAGGGCCGCGCCTCCTCTGGCTTCAGGCAAATGCCTCTGCAGAGACCAGCCCCACAGACCTGCATCCCTCCCCACCCCTCACTCCACTTCCAGCGCCTCAAACATTTTAGGTGCGATCCTACCTCAGGGCCTTTGCATGGACTGTGTCCAGGCCTGGAACACCCCTACCAGGTCTCCAAGGGGCTCACGACTCCTGGGGCCTG